AAAAAAAAAAAGGAAAAAAGGAGTGCTTTAAAGTTTTGTACTGAGACTCTCTTAGGAGCAGCTTTTATCGTAAGGGCAACGCATGCAGCTCAGTTCCATGAACACCTAAAAATAACCCAACTGGAACAACAGATAAAGTCCTGGCTTAAAGTTCAACTCACAACATAGAGTATATTTGGATTTCAAGAAACATCTGTTTGGAATTCTTTTTTGTTTGTTTGATTTGGTTTGGGGGGAAGGGCAGGTAAAGAAGGAAAGACAATTAACTTTTTAAAAATGTTCTTTCTTCCCTACTGGATGCTTCGCATTTTAGCCCCCAGATAGGATGATGACTTCTGCAGGTGGCAAAACATCAGGAGCCCTAACTACTCACCACAGAGGTAGCCTACACAACACTATTATTTCAAAATTGTATGCAGCTGAACTTCATTCAGGAATGAAAGTAATATTCTGGAGATACAAAAGGCCGATCCAGCAAAATTTGTGTTATGCAGTCACCATGTTGGCCTGCATTGTCTAGTAAGAAAGTAATTCTGGAAATAAGTAGGAAAAATAAGTATTAGAAATATTTTCGGGGCGCCTGGGTGGCGCAGTCGGTTAAGCGTCCGACTTCAGCCAGGTCACGATCTCGCGGTCCGTGAGTTCGAGCCCCGCGTCAGGCTCTGGGCTGATGGCTCGGAGCCTGGAGCCTGTTTCACATTCTGTGTCTCCCTCTCTCTCTGCCCCTCCCCCGTTCATGCTCTGTCTCTCTCTGTCCCAAAAATAAATAAACGTTGAAAAAAAAAATTTAAAAAAAAAAAAAAAAAAAAAAAGAAATATTTTCAAAATTACCAAATTTACATTTTGACGTAGAGAAGGTAAATTTTACTCCAAATTGTTGAAGGATCCCTTTATAAATTACTTATAAGATTATCTTCATTTAAAAGAGCTCTTTAGGTATTCGTCTTTCCCGAAGTTCCATGGCAATGTAAAGATTCTATTCATAATGGTAAGTGGCAAGATGATTAGTTAATTTAAAAGAACTTGTCAATTATAAAAAGAAAAATGTCTCTTATTAAAAAGTTATTAGCAATTTACCAAAAGGTATGATTTTTACTTTTTATACATTATACCTGAAAAATTTTCATTAGCCTGATTTTCCTGAATACTTAAAGAATGAGTTTACATTAAACATCTGTATCTAATGAAAAATATATTAGGTGTCAGCTTTCAATTCTGTATATTTTATAGCTCCAAAAGGTGGATTTTTTTTTTTGCTAAAACAGACACTGTTACAT